TGTGACCTTTTTGGAAGTAGGGTCTTTGCAGCTGTAAGTAATTACGGACCTTGAGATGTGAGATGAAATCACACTAGGTATAGGGTGGGCCTAAATCCAGTAACTGGTGTCTTATAAAAAGAGGACACCCAGGGAAAAGAAGGTGATATGAAGACACAGGAAAAGCTTAGAGGGATGCACCCACAAACCAAGGAACACCTGGGGCCACCAGAAGCTGGAAGAGGCAGGGAAAGGTTCTCCCTGGAGCCTTCAGAGGGAGCACAACATTGTCAACACCTTGATTTTAGACTCCTGGTCTCCAGAACTGAGGGTGTTAAACCGCACTGCTCATAGCAATTTGTTACGGCAGCCCTTGGACACTCGTACGGGGCAGGAGAACATTTGAAGTCAGTATGGACCTTTCAGTTTGGATGCCTGTAAGACTCTTGTTGGGGATGACCGGTGGGCAGCTGGACACGTGAGAAGAGCAGACGGGGTTAGAGATGTCAGTTTGAACATGGTCATAGAAAAGTAAGGGGCAGCTGAGATCACCAAGGGAGAGGGTTCAGAGCAAAAAAATAGGGCAGAAGGCAGAACCCAGGGGACTCGTCCATTGAAGGGGTGGAGGAAGGAAGGGAAGACGGAGAAGGAGCTGCTTTTCAGGAAGGCGGAATTCTTGGCTCGTATGAACAGTGTAGAGAGTTCGTCAGGGTGTGCACAGGGAAAGCGATGCTGATTTGAAAATTCCCTAACACTCGGCCATTTCCATACTCTGTTGCCCAGGTTGAGAAGAGTAAGAGGTGGAAAAATGCAGACAGCAAGCATGGGCTACTCTTTTTTTTTTTTTTTTTTAAGATTTTATTTATTTATTTGACAGAGATAGCGAGAGAGAGAGCACAAGCAGGGGGAGCGAGCGGGAGAGGGAGAAGCAGGCTCCCCGCGGAGCAAGGAGCCCGATGCGGGGCTCGATCCCAGGACTCCGGGATCATGACCTGAGCCCAAGGCAGATGCTTAACCCGCTGAGCCACCCGGGTTAGACTGTGGACACAAGGAGAAATGGGATTGATCGTAGATGAAGGAAAGAACATCACTGAGGGAACTTGATACTTGTTTTTTAGGACTATGACACTTGTCATGATATTTTTTTAGGCTGCAGGAAGGAAGCCAGGAGAAAATGCAAATAATCGATGAAACAAGTTTCCAGAGAAGAGACTTACAAATATTTTTTGTTGTGCATCTGCTCTGTGCCAGGCACTGTGCTAGGGTTTACCCGAATGATCTAACTGATCTTCTCAACACTCCTATAGAGTAGAGAAGGGTGGTCCCCATTCTGTTGTGGGGGAACAGAGGCTGGGAAAGCCAAAATAATTTGCTCAAGTCCATACCTCTCAGATTTGAGCCCTGGGCTGCTGCCCCCTGTGTCTCAGTTTTTGTTACATTATTTTCCACGGGAGTGCAGAAAGCAGCGTCTTTCTCTGATTCACAAAGAATAAGAAGCAGTGTAAAGAAATGAGCAGATCTGCAGTGGAGGAAAGGGACGTTCTTGGTGTTTCTATCACATGGTCTTATTAAAACTATGAGTCAATATTATCCACTGCAGGGGAGGAAGAGAGAAGCCCAGGGGGTCTAGAGAAGGGAAGGGATTTAGGATAACCTCAGAAGCCAGCCAGGAAGAAGGAAAAACCTCGCTTAACTGCTAAGGCTCCACTAGGATTAGTGGGTTGGGTTTTTAGGGCAGCTAACCTGTGTAGGGTGAGCAGAACCTGATCCCAAGATGGACTTCTAGCCAGAAAGATTTTAGTGAAAGCTCTGAAAGTGCTCCAGGCCAGAGGTACTCCTGAGTTTAACTTGAGACACCACACCTCCAGAGCTCCGAAAACCAGCCATCGGATATCCCAAGGCGATGATCAGTCCCAACCCCTGCTACAGGAGAAGACCCTGACCAGCCTAGAGTTGACCTGTCCCATAGGGGTTCCCCCCCTCCCCCACTGCCTGGCCAAACCAGGTGCACTCCCAGCCTCTGGCAGGGTTACCATTCTGATATGAAAATAACCTAAGTCCTTGACTCAGAAAATAACAGCATCTGCTAATTTGCATAAGAGTTTTGCATTTCATATTTGGGCTTAATACCCAAATGCTAAAACTCATTTATTTGACCTTAGTTAAGTGGTTTAGGGGCTCAACCGATAAAAACTCCTCCGGAACGTTCCACTCTGACGCATCCAGACCCAGCTCCCCGCCCAGGACGACTCTCTTCTCCTGCCATCTGGCACTCTGCACGCACTGCATTGATTCTCCTATGAATTATGGGTTAAAAAGGACCCATCAGTTTGCCGGAAGGCTTGATATTTTTAAAAGGGTCTCAGCAGGTGCATCTCCCCAAGTTCCCATGTCAAGAGCTCTGCCGTGGGGCTCTGAGCTGCTCCGATTCCTCCAGGGTCTCGATTCGGGATGAGCAGCCCCTCCATGGAACTCCCCGGGACAGCGTGCGTGAGGGCAGCAGCTATGGAGTGAGAGTTTTGAGAGGAGACAGCAAAGAAGGTGTTAATAAATAATCACAGAGCTTCATTCTCCATAAAGACAATTACTGGGATTGATTGTTTCTGTGTTTCCTTAGTCACGGTTCAGCTTGCTTGTTTCACTTGGATTAAGACAGATGAATGCCGAATGCACATAGCCATGTGATGTCGGAATTATCAATGGCACGTCCAAGGCCCCTGCCTTCTTGTTCACATGCTGCTAGCGTTCTCAGCTGTGCTGAAAGGGGATCCTGGACTGGGAGGGATGAAGCACATGGGGTGAGGTGTTGTGGACTCCTGAATTTTAGATCATGCACCCTGTTTTCTTCCCACGTGTGGGGTATAGTGAGGTGGTGTTCCGATGAAAGCCTGCATCTACATCCCCTGGAAGGCTTGTTAAACACAGATGCCTGGGAGGGTGCCTGGGTGGCTCAGTCAGTTAAGCATCAACTCTTGATTTCGGCTCAGGTCATGATCTCAGGGTCCTGGAATGGAGCCCCACGTTGGGTTCCGTCCTCAGCAGAGAGTCTGCTAGAGGATTCTCTCTCTCTGCCTCTCCTCTCTCGTTCTCTCTCTCTCTCTCTAATAAATAAATAAATCTTTCAAATACACACACACACAGATGCCTGAGCCCCTTCCCTAGAGCTTCTGATTCAGTGCGTACAGGGTTGGGCCCGAGAATTTGCATTTCTCACCTGTTCTAGGATGCTACTGCTGCTGCAGGTTTGGAGACCCCACTTTGAGACCCAGTGAGATAGTGATTAAGAGTGTGGGCACTGGGACCAGGCCACCGGCCTTGTAATCCAGACACTGACTGTTTACGAGCTGTGTGGTCATGGGCCATTTAACTCAACCTCTCTGTGTCTCCATTTCCTCATCTTTATTTATTTATTTTTTTCTTTGTGGAATATCTGTAAAACTTTATTGAGAGAATTTCAACAGTGAAGTACCCCGCATAAGAGTAGTTTGCATGTTTCCGCTTGTCCTTGTTTGAATCTGGAGTAGTCCTTCACCTGCTTCTGGCATTTTAATGGGCTCTAAAAAGGGTAGACTTGGCCCCTTGACATCAGGGTCATCTTCAGTTACACGTCCAGCCTTTGCCTGAGGCAGCTCCTGGAGGTCAGCTTCCAGGTCCCGTCCTTGAGCCACAGGCCCTCCTTCAACTTCCTTCCCTTGATCAGGTAGAATATCTTGACTCTTAGGTGGTGCCTCCTTTTGTTTTGGTTGCTCATCACTGGGTTGCTGCTCACCCACGTGCTGGTTAGACCCTGGATCATCTTTTCTTTGTTTGGATGTGGATGTGGATCGGACTCGGCCACTCATACATAGTTCACCCAGTTGAATTCAGCTAGCGAGAAAGCTCACGGCAGAGAGGACACGCCGCCTCGATGGATCTCCCGTTTCCTCATCTTTAAAGCAGGGATGATAATGATAGTACCTACTTCGTGGCATGTTCAAGAGGAATAAATGAATGAGAACTTGAACGCGCTTAGGCCAGTGCCTGGTATATAGAGTACGTGCTCCATGTGCGTTGGATAAATAAATAAAGGAGCCAGACTCAGGACTGTGAGCGTATCAACTAGTTTCTCTGACACCTGCAGCTCCCAGTGGAGTTGCTGGGTCATTTTACCCATTAGTCTTCAATCCCGTCTCTTGAGGCCGGGAAAGTTAATGCCCAGCTCAGTGCCGGCAGGAGGGAGGTGACATCAACATCCATCAAAATCCTCTTCTCAAGCTACTTTCACCCTTGAAATCTACTTAATACACAGACTGTGACCCACTGAGACTGGAACAGTAGGGCAGTGTGCTTTTGGGGTTTCTCTCCCCCATGCTGCCAAAAAGAGGGGCTGCCCTTTATATTGAGCTTGGCCGCGACCTCATGCTGATTGCTCTCATTTGTTCAACGCTTCCCCTGTGCCCAGCACTTACGTGTTTTACACATGATTTCATTTAACCCTCAAAACGTCACCCTGTCATGCTGCCGGGGTTCAGCAAAGTTAAATGACTTGACCCAAGTCACACTGTCAAGTGATAAACTCAAAACCAAAAGCCAGGTGTGTCTGACGTCAATAATTTGTTATCTTAAAGTTCTCCTACTGTATACCACCTCCCTAGCTTTCTATGAATATTTATATCAAGGTTAAGGCTGGGTCCCCAGGTATCCAGCAGTGACAGTTTCTCCTGCAAAGGTAAGCACCCCAGAACTGGAACTGCCTGTTTCAGGCTTTGCTTTTCCAAAGCCTGTCGTAGGACTCACGGAACATACTCCTTTTAGAAATGGACAGCATGCCTTCCATTGCTTGGTCATTCACTCTGGCCTGACTTCTGGGTGCAAGTGTGTTCATGTTGCCAAAGGTGGCTTTCTGTCTGAATTTGGATATTGACCTAGTATCGGGAGGAGTGCTCCCAGCATGATGGTTACGTATACCATCCAGAGGCTATACGGCGAATGTGAAGAGAGGAAAAATGGTATGCTAATGAAACTTTACTTTTTTCCCATAGTGTTCCTTTCTGCCGAAATTCTCCATTCATATAGAAACCAAGTATGAGGACAAAGAGGCAAGCAACGACCGCGTGAGTAGGGCGTGCACCCCCCCCCCCCCCCCCCGTTCCATACTGTGCCCTCACCCCCTGGGCTCTCAGAGTCATGACTGTGCCTGGGACCTCGGAGAAGCTCTAGCATTTGCTTTCTGGGGCCATTTCCCTGGGATTTCTCCCTGGAATTTCTTTGTTGTCCAGCCTTTCTTCCCATCTTTATGTCCTTTCCACGGGCCTCTGTGCAGAAATCTCGGTGACCTAGAGTGATTGTCATTGGCGTTTGAGGGGGATGGTGGGGACCTTGAATTCCAGGATTTACTTTCAGATCACTGGATTGAGCATACATCTTCTCAGTGACTATTAACATTTACTTAGAAAAATGAGTACAGGGGCGCCTGGGTGGCTCAGTTGGTTGAGCGTCTGCCTTTGGCTCAAGTCGTGATCCCAGGGGCCTGGGATTGAGCTCCATGTTGGGCTCCCTGCTCAGTGAGGAGTCTGCTTCTCCCTCTGTCCCTCCCCCTCCCCGTGCTCACTCTCTTTCTCTCTCAAATAAATAAAATCTTAAAAAAAAAAAGAAAAATGAATACTACCAAATATATATGTGTGCATACTGTATAGATTTTCTGGACTATGATAACGTTCACATATATACACTAATACACACATATCCCATGTTAAAATCAGTGTACCCCTCCTGCAAATTACTTACCTTATGGGACAAGCCGAGTCTTTGTAGATCGGCCCCGTACTTTATTAGTATTGCTGAGAATCCATCTTCTGACCTGGCTTTTCCCCCAGCCTCTTTCTGTTGGAGCAGTGTCATTTTGAGTTGCCTTCACTTTGGGAGTGGATGTTTTGCCCTGTTAAGAGCCTCACCCTAAGACTGGGCTCTGGGTTCCATTGGGTCCCACTGAGGGAAGAGCCTGGATCTAGAAGCTGCAGAGCTTCACCTATTAATTTCTACTTCATTTACATGTTTTGCTTTTGTGGAGAAAGATGAAGATTAAGACTGTGTCAAAATGGTCAAGAGAGCGTTTCCTGACAAGGTGACCCCTTCGGCTCAGGTCGTGATCCCAGGGTCCTGGGATCCAGTCCCGCATCGGGCTCCTTGCGCGGCGGGGAGCCTGCTTCTCCCTCTGCCTGCCACTCCCCCTTCTTGTGCTCTCTCTCTGATAAATAAATAAATAAAATCTTAAAAAAAAAAAAAAAGAAAGAAAGAAAGTTCCTGCCTATGGCAAGAACAGATTCTTCTGGAAGCTACAGGTATATTTGTGGGGGAACACAGGTTGTCCTTTTCAAAGTGGAGTCTGCCTGGACAGAGCTAGAGTGGTTCCCAAGGGGCATCGCTCAAGAGCTCTGTTTCACAGCAGCTTGGTGTGGGAGGACACTCATTCCTTCATGCAGAATTCAGCAAGGGCATATCAAGAACCTTCTCTTTGGAGTATGAGTATGTATGAGTTGCATGCAGGTATTAAAAATGCAGACTCATTTCTCAAACTCCAGGTACTCATAGCTTAGCTGGAGGAAGAACCAACATAATAAAAACATAAGCATGATAATGGGCTTCCCTCCCTTCAACGCAGAGTTGACACTGCTAAACCCTCAGAGTTGGAAAGACCTTAAAGAGCGGCATTCAGTCATGACCTCTCCACAGTAGTCCCCCCCTTTCGTGTGCGGGACACGTTCCAAGACCCCCACTGGATGCCTGAAACCACAGATAATACCAAACGGCATATACACCTGTTTCTTCTTATATATCCATACCTATTATAAAGTTTAACTTATAAATTAGGCACAAATAAGGGATTAAGAGCAACACCAATCAAATAGAACAATTAGAACAATATTTTGTAGTAAAAGTTATATGAATAGGATCTCTCTCACTTTCTCAAAATATCTTACTGTACTTTAGTCACCCTTCTTGTGATGATGTAAGATGATAAAATGCCTACGTGATGACATGAAGTGTGGTGAATGACGTAGGCATAGTGTCCTACCATTAGGCTGCTGTTGACCTTTTGATGATAGGTCAGAAGGAGATTCATCTACTTCCAGGCCTCGGTTGACCACACGTAACTGAATCCATGGAAAGCGAAATGCGGATAAGGGGATATTACTGTATTTGCAGGGACTGACATGGCTTGTACCTGGTCACTTCATCTTCTTGAACTAAGTTAAGAAACCTGGAGTTTATCAGGGGTCGGCAGAGTACTTTTTTTGTAAATCAAGTTTAACTGGAACACAGCCACACTCATTTGGGTATTATCAAGGCTGCTTTCCTGCAACAACAGCAGAGTTGTATACTTGCAACAGAGTTCATAGGGCCCATAAAGCCTAAACTATTTAGTACCTGAAAAAAGTTTGCTAACCCCTGGTTGGAGAGAGTCAAGTCAGAATAGCACACACCAGATCTCAGAATTTGACCCAATATTGATTATTAGATGTCACCAGCCGTCCCAGCTGAATGCCTTCTCCAGAATTCCTGAACTTTCCAGGGGAGAGAAGAATGCAGCTGGCTGGGGTACTCTCCCCCAATCGGTTCAGGATCCCCAATGGTTAGCATCCCTTAGTGGTTGGTAACCTCAAGGGAAAAGTTTAGGCCCATATCCTTGTCAGCAGCCTGAAATAAGAGGTGCTTTGGTGGCCAACTACATCAAAACCTCAACGTCTAAAATAATGTTACATCATCCTTAAACTTGAACCCTTGTAAAATAATGACTTCTCTGATTGGAAAATTAGTACATGATTATTAAAACTTGGGAAATGCAAAAGAGCAACCCTCCCCCCCCCAAAGAAAAGAAAAACCAAAGTTTTTCTATAATTCCGAGATTACTGTGGATAGCACTTCATGTTCATGGTGCAGATCACCATGAATTTAGTTTTTAGCCAGTTCCCCCAAAACTGAATCACACAGTATGCTGGTTTTTGTTTTTTTTTTTTTTTAAGATTTTATTTGTTTGTTTGAGAGAGAGAATGAGAGAGAGAGCATGAGAGGGGGGCGGATCAGAGGGAGAAGCCGACTCCCTGCCGAGCAGGGAGCCCGATGCGGGACTCGATGCTGGGATTTCAGGACCATGACCTGAGCCGAAGGCAGTCACTTAACCAACTGAGCCACCCAGGCGCCTCAGTATGCTGTTTTTAACATGTCATGAGGTATCCTTCCCTGTATGATTTTTAAATGGCTGCACTGTATTCCATACTTAAGTGTACTTCTTTAAACAATTGCCGGACACTTGATATTGAAAGGGGCTTGACTGTTTTGACTTTTTGATGTAGCTGAGGACCATCAGGGAAAGGCTGATACAGAGCAGACGCACCTGAACTGTGTTAGCCAGCCCAATCTGAAAACATGGTATGGGGAATGTTTTCGAATGTCTTTTAGTCTTTATAAACACATTGCCTTGCTTTCTCTTTTTCCCTGTGGTTCTGTCATGAGTAGGTAAAACCTGCCCCATTTGTAGAGGTGTGAAGGGATGTGCAGGCTCACCATGATCCTTATGGGTTGATAGGACCAGCGTGATCTTCTGGTTTATTCTCTCTGCTCAATTCAACTAGTCAAAAAAAAGTGTACATGGTTGTCATTTTATTATCCCATATCCCTTTGTGGGGGGTGCTAAGTTCTTTTTTACTACTCTGGTAGGACCTTAAAATCCCAGGTTAGCCACCTGAAAGTCAGGATCCATGGTTGGCATCAGCATCCTCCATCCACATCCTCTGTCCATGCTCTCTGAGATTTAGTCTGGCCCATAAGAGAAGCACTGAGCACTTGGGTGCTTGTAGGTGGTCCTTGTCAACACAGTTTGCTTCCTCTGGGAGAAATGTCAGCCTCTGTATTGCCTCCTTCTCCCCAGCTTGCTGACCTTGAGACCACCCCTGGGGCCCGCACCGCATCTCTCTGTCATGGCACCCAATTTGTCCAGGTTCCCATCCCAGCCTCTGCCTGGCTCCACTCCATAGATCCCCAGGTCTTGCTTCGGAGGCCACAGGACCAGACAGACCAGCCCTGGCCTGATCAAACTTCTTGGCCAATTCTCCTTCCTCCGATTTCCATATTCAACAGCAGCTGTTGGGTCACCCGGCTGCTTCGAGGTTGGTCCCAGGGAGGCAGAAAAGGAAGATTTTATTGGTTTTCATTCACACTTGTTACTGCTTCAAAATCAGAACATGGCAAATATATACTTATGTAATAATACTTACTTTCATTATTAAAAGGTAACTTTGTCCAGGGGTTCAAAACTAGAGCCTCAAGCAGATGTCATGTGCCGGCATGCTCTTTTTCTGTCTAGGGAGGAGTACGGAGTTGTTGGTGGGAGGCAGAGTTGCTAGAAAATGTAGTGCAGTAATGGGTATTTCTCCGGTCTCATTGCTTTGCCAGATTATTTAATAAACTCAGTTTATTTCTTTGCATTTTCTGGGTATATAGTCTTATCATTCAGCTAGCATCCTTCATACCATTATCTGCATCCTGTTTCCTCCTCTACCTGCCAAAAAGGTAATGAAATTGATGTCGGACGATAAGAAGCAATAATTAAATGGAAAGACGCTAGTGATAATCATATTGATTAGTGATTGAGTAGAGAACATTTTGTTACCCCATTATCAATCACCATACGAGTAATTTTTTTACGTGACCCCGTATTTAGTTAAAAAAAAAAAAAAGCAGTGGGATGACTGGCTATAAATATCTTCTCCTTGTTAAAATAAAACTCATATTTATGATTGTGAAAACCTGTAAGTTGTGATTACATTAACCAGGACACAGTGGGAAAGTTGTCTTAAATTGAAGCCCATTTATTTTATGCGCATAATAATGAGAATTATTTAGGTTTTAATTAGTGCTGGGGAGGACGGCACCATGCCAAGGTAGGGTTCTGTTGTTTGTCTGAGGCCATAAATCTAGATCTGGGAGAGAAGGTGCTTTGCACACGTGTGGCAGCTACTGCCGGGTTACTGTGGCTCCGTGGGGTTAATGGGGAGCCGACTCGCCTTTATTTCCTCTTCCAAACAAAGTCAGCACCATTTAATGCAGTGGCTCT